GCTCAGAATTAAATAACTACATAATTAATTGTTTGTACGCGCGGCCGGCGGATACTTCCGCGTGCTTGCCGGCTCAGAATGGCTATTATTTTTATATATTAATTAAACGACTGTGAGAACGAGAACGATAGAGGGGTGTTGAGCGAACCGCGCACCGCCGACGTTTAGCAGCTTCCTTATTCTCGATGATAGTTGTTTTATCGTCGTTGTATTATAACTTGATCCTAGCTTAACTCGTTAATGGACCCGCGTCCAACTCTAGCTCGGGGTTCGTCGACTATCGTTTTATTATCGAGACACATCGGTATCATTTGTATCTGTATATACGTACGGCAATCGTGAATTATTTAAAGTTAGTCTAATGTACAGAACATCTGTGTAACGATAAATGCGATAATGTGATTCGTTTAATAAATACGATATTACGTAGCGAGAGGGATTTCTCTATTCAGTTCTCCTTCTTTTTAGCAGTAAAAGGCAAAATCTATTAATCTGAAAACGATAGTATTCCTAATTCTTATAAAAATCTCAGTTCTGCTTTATGTGTTCGTCTCGATTTGTTAATTTATTCAATCGCAATGTTCTATTATTGGAAAGTCGTGTTTTAAATATTCTAGTATCACAAGCAACACTGTCAGTGTCGATCGACTTCTTAGGTCTGAAATTATTTGATTTCCATTCGACCTAACTATGTTCAGATTATAAGTAACTATAAACAGTGATTTGATTAATTGCATCTTATTCATTTAATACGGAGATAATTATAGAGGCTGAGTAACCAGGTACGTAATTGTTTCCTCTGTTTAACTGATTTCGAGCCCAGATCTTCCTACACTTTACATTAACACACTCAATTACAGCGAAGATTCTAATAAATATTTTATGCAAGTAGAGCATGACACTTAAATTTAAGCAGTTGATTATCAACGGTATATAGCGTACTACTTTCTCCATATCTAATTGATGAATAATAAACTCCATAACCCTCTATAATCCTCATTCATACTGTTTTTAATTTCAAATCAAATTAATTGAGTAAAGCAAGAGTCGGTAGTGTACGTATACTTTCTTCTACCACTGTGCGCCCTAGATAACATTTAAACAAATTAAATTGAAGTATGTTAATTGTACAATGTCCTGTACGTGCAACCGGCAGAGGTCAATCCACAGAATCTACTTGTTATACATTGCTACACGAGGACAACGATTAAAATTCAGTTCCCTTCACCCATCGGACATCGTTGGAAGTCCGAGAGCGGAACTTCCGGATATATTTCATTGAAAGAAAATAGAGGGGAAGGACCTTGCGGAGTTCCGGGGAACTCGTGGATATGGCCGACACGTGAGACTTCGCGAGACCCGTTTTGAAACGCCATTTATTTGCCTCTGCATTCCTTCCCGGTGATAGGTCCGACGGTTCGAAAAACGTGGAAAATGCGAATCAGGATCAAAATGAGGAAGAGGAATACGATCCTGTCGTTCATCGTCCTGCGGGTCCGGCGACTTCGTAAGAGTCCACATTTCATATACACTGCAGCTTCCCTTTTCTATAAAAAAACACTTGTGTCGACATGTTTCTTTGTCAAGAAATGAAAAATGATTGTGCTTCGTGTTCTGAGTTACCAGAAGATGGTACTTAAGCACTATTGTCCAATTTATAATTTACATTACTTATTGAAGAAATCAGCTTCATTTTCCAAAGAGTTCATAATTTCATTCAATTCTTGATTTACACTACTCACTGAAAAGATTAATTTCGTTTTTCAAAGATTTAATAGTGTTTCATTAGATAGATTCATTGAATTTCTGGTTCATGGTACTCGCCAAAACACGAAATTTCGTTCTCCAAGGCTAGAAACATTAACGAAGAACAAATTGATGTATACACCCGCAGCAATTTCTATTTCACGCTTAAACGATAATAAGCCAGACTATAATCACGTGCAACGAAAGAGAAAAGATATTTCCCAAACAAATAAATGTTGACCTCGTTTTTCTGCTATCTTTCTGTTATCGCAACGAGAAGGAGAGCAAACATATTTTTAAATAAACATTTTTAGAACTGTTTCTCTATAATGAAACTTCATTGTTTTTATGTGTGCACACCTTTATTTAACATACTCATTTAAAATATTTAATACAATTGACCAGTAATAGGGATGCAATTACTATATAACATTACTATACAATTTATTTAGTACATTCTTCACAAGAATTAAACAATATATATTTCTCATGACTCTGTTATCGAATTCCTTTTAGTGATTTCATAGTACTGATGCATCTGCTGAAGGCCTCGTGTGGCAGTGGGATACTTTTCTTACCGAATGGCTTCAGAAGAGCGGGCTACGTATCGGCGATAGCTTGCAGCGTCATCGTGGGCCTGTTATGCACTCACACTGTAGTCACGCTGGTGGGTAACTCGATTGCAGTAAATTATATTTATATAGAAAATAAAAAGCCGACAATAAAGATAAAATCACGTAACATCGATACAGATTCAACATTAAAAACGAGTTTTCTCGTATGTAGGTGCGATGCGCTCACGTGTTGTGCAGACGCAATCGCATACCGATGCTGGATTTCGCCAAAACAGCGGAGCTCTCGTTTCAGTGTGGCCCAAAACGAATTCGAAAGTACGGGAAAATCTTCGGCATTTTTACGAACGTTTTCGTCTGCATCGTCCAGTTCCAGACGGCTGTGATATACATACTATACGTCTCCACCTCCTTTCAGCAAGTGAGAAACGAGTCGTAAGGTCCTTATCCATTGATGGATTCAGACTGAGGTCGCGAGACCCACTTTTCAGTTGTCGATCAAGCCGAAGATAATTGGCACAGGCATTTAACAATATTTTTCACTGGATACTTTTAATTATTTCTTCACTGAAAGTCGATTACTCGTCAAAAGAATTTAGTTACTTGAATCTCTTGTACAGAATTTTGTACAGATTTCACAGAATAATGATAAATTTTTAGCTGGTAATGTACATTGTATTTGAACGTAGTGCTCAATGATTTTTATCTTTACAAAACTAGTAATTTGTTATATAAAAACTGCAGTATTACTATAATATATTCGTAATTACTCGAACGACTTTTAATATTTCAAAAGATAAAATACTATGTTTAAAAATACTAAAAGAAAATATTTACCTAACAGATCCTTTGCTAATTTCCATTTAAACAACACGTATCAAAATGAGATAAGAAATCTTTATTGTTCAAGTAATTAATGTAATTAACATGATTTAAGAATCATTCGATAATGATTGTACGGTATTCGAATCGCTGTGTAAATTACATCATCTAACAAGTTTACTTTCAGGTTATCGAGTTCTTCTCCGGCATCGAAATGAATGTGCGAATCTACATATTGGCTCTGATCCCCTTCATCTGCCTGCTTGGCTTCCTTCCTAACTTGAAATACCTGGCTCCTTTTTCCGTAATCGGATTTTTATTCATGTTCATCGGTATTTGGGTCACATTTTACTATCTGTACGACAATTTTCCCGATCCCCGACGGCTGCCAGCGTTCACGTACTGGTTGTCCGTGCCGATGTATTGCACTTTGATGCTGTATGCTCTGCACAACGTTACCCTTTGCTTACCTTTGGAGAACTGCATGAAGAATCCGATGCGATTACCGCGACTGATAAAATGCAACATGCTAATCAATACTTGCCTCTACACAATATTCGGGTTCCTCGGTTACAACAAGTACATGGACATGACCTGCGACACGGTGATCAAGAACTTGCCGATAGAGGACGCGTAAGTGGGTTTATTTTGTTTGAAACTTTTACCATTACTCTTCTTACATTATTTTAATTTTCTTGTTTTGTATTGATCTCTAATTAATAATAATATTGTTACATTATTATATTCTGTTTATTTACATTTTATTAGTATCTTTTAACGGATTTTATGTTAATTTTTCATTTTATACTGTTATTACTCAATTTTATTAGTTAATTAATTATGACATAGTATGGTTATATTATTGTATAATGTTTTTTTATATTCTATTATTATGTTGTAATTGATTTTATTTTAGTTTTTCGTTTTATAGTGTTATGATTGCTCAATTGTATTTCGATAATTGATAATGACACAATGTTGTAACATTATTGTATTGTGTCTAGTATATGTTTTTATTATGTTTTTCTTTCTGTATGTTTCGATTTTATACGTGTATTCTAGAGATTCTGTCACGTGAACTTAAAATGTCACCGATCCAATGGAATGTCAGAAAACATTGACTACTTGTTAACAATTGATAAGTGTGGAATGTATAGATTGAACTATGCTCAAGCTTAGTTTTTGTTTTAAGAAGTGAACGTGTCGTTTTAATGATAATAGAAAGCAGACGATGTTTACCTTCAGAATATTCTTACGTGACGCGAAAGCAAATTTGCTCTGATCAACTGGGGAAAAATGCATAGTTCGTAGAACGTTGATATCGGTTATTGTAGTAAACATTTCTAAATAGGATGTACCAGAAATTATATTTTTTAATCGGGACATTTAATGAATGAGTAATATGAATTGCTTATCTGGTGTTCTACGACGATCGGGATTTAGAATCGTGGTAAAATAATTACAAATGCAATCTTTTTTCACTTAACTCTTTTATTATCCAAGTATCGACGCAGACAGGTAAGAAATAATTACTTCGAAAGGTCTCCAAAAATTAATCAGCGTATGCATCGTAACAATCAGTAGACAGTGTTTATAAACACTGTAATCAGATCTTTTCACGATTCATCCTGGAATCATGATTTTAACGAAAATGTACAGGACTGGGACGAATTGCAATTTTCGATAAAAATGTGGATAACATTTAATCGCGATTTCGCAGCAAAAACTGAATTCCAAGTAATTTTCCTTGTATATTTATAATTTATATTTAAAAAATACTAATAATTTTATTTGACGAGAGTACAAATGTTTCTAGCAATCTTTTCATTCCACACAAGGGTGTTTTACACAAGATAATTGAATTCAGAACGTATAATGTAAAGATAAACAGAATTAGTGTTACAAAATTAATTATTGAAATTAATTATAGAGGAAGTAATTTAATTTACAATATTCGCTGCAACATGGTGCTGCATAGGGTAAATGGCGTTCGGCCGACACGATAATCAGTCGATATCTTTGTAATCGTAAATCGATACAAAGGTAATTAATGACACAGTGTGGCTGGCACGTGATATAAAGCCCGTTGTCGATCGTGCGCGTGGCCAGATAATAATATTTAGATACCGGCGTAGTCATTTTTTATTGCGTCACCGGTGATTGCGGAAAAATGTATGATGGAAATGAGAGATTATCAGATAAGCAACATAATCTTAATTTCATTAAATTGATCTACCTTTGACACCTTAGTAAAGTGTCGTTTGTTAAGAAAATTTATTATTTTATAATAATAATAAATAAGGGCTACCAATCAAACATTACCATGAAAGGATTACAAATATTTTATCTCATGCGAGAATCGCAATATCTTCTTCTGGTATTATAATTTTTTCACAGAATGGAGATTGGTAATAAACAATTACGAACTTACTTTGTACCGCTTCGGTAGATGTTTCAGAACGGGTACACGTCACCATGTACAGCGATATCAGAATACTCAAAAGTATGTCGTTTGCGATTCGCAATTTCGTCAAATCGTGGTAGTTTCTTACGTAAAAGTATTTGATTAAACATATTTACGTGTCGGCATGACCTGGATTAATGCAATACTTAAACTTTGAACAGTGATCCTTCCAAAGTTTGTATTTCTTATGTATAATATTCCGAGCTATAGATAAATATTAATACCCGGGTATGTAAAACGAGATAAATATTTTACGCACTTCAGTTGAAATTAATGTAACTGTACCGTCCTCCAAAGCATACAATTTTATAATAATTGTTCTGAAGTAAATATCTCGTACAAACAGCCAAAGAATTCTATTCGCGAAAAATTTGCGTTTTCATGTATAAGTGTCAAAGAACAGTATGATTCTGATCCTAAAAATACCAAACAAATCAAAGCAGTGGTCGCAAATGTGCTTTACACGCGGGAAGCTATTCATGGACTATATTTATTGCGTGTAATGCACTAAACGTCAAGCAAACTCTCGGTGAGCACATTCTTTCAATTTTTACGGAAGATCGGGGATTAGTTACGTTGAAGGTCGGGTACTTACTTCCACTGGTAAGTTTACTAGCAATAAATCTTCCCTAATACGACGTGCAGTTTCTGGCAGTAGCAGCCAGGTTTATGTAACTCGGTGTGCAGATTCCATCGAAGTTGTTTCTAATCGCTTCGACGCATACTCAAACAGAACGTCACACCCGAGGGGATCGCGTACTTGTGATTTCAATCAACAAGATAAAATTGAAAGGTCGATGTGTCGCCGTCGTCGATTGGTATCAGCGGATTAAGGAATTCAATAATGCCTCATTGCTGAAACCACCGTCCCGTTGATAAATGGCGTACACCAGGGATAGGAATCAAGATTGTGTGGATTTGAGTAATTCGTTTCGCGGAGCCGCTAAGTAACGCTTAAAATTATGCATACGCGCAATATTCGGAATCGCGATTTTTTTTCTTTTTTATCGATCTTCATTGCATTGTCATACTGGAAGGTGAGCGTTTGAACAGTCAATTGATAAATGACGAGCTTCGAGAGTTAATGCGAAACCGACAGGTGATCAGTTCGTCGAAAAGACTTACATGCTTACTGCAGCTAATCGCAATTTTCCACTGGCGATAATTAATTACATTATCTTAATTTCTTCATCATCCGCATCTTTATTCAGAGAAGGACATTTGAATTGATATTGAGTGATTGAAAACTGTCTGTTGATTGTTTATGGTACTAACGTTTCTTTGAACCGGTCAGACGATCGAGATTTTTGATTTTAAGTTATAATAGTGCTTCAATGAGAATTGATTCCATAAATTGATTTATTCAGGTGTATTGCCAAATATCAACGGGAATCATGTAATTTTAATGAAAAGATTAGATAATATCGAGTTACCTTCATTACTCGATATTTCTTCTTGAAATTTTAATTTTAAGTTGAGAAGAGGTTTTAATGCGAGTGATTTAAAGCATTCCTTGATAATCTTTCAAGGGGCCGTTATATTAGAAATAGATCCTATTTATACTAGGTCGATCTAGCTCGATCAATGATCAGTAGCTCATGAAAATCACACTTGAAGTGTCTTTCCGTAATGAGCTCCTTGTATTTTCTATATCATGCTCCTTGATTCCACATATAAACTATGATATAAATCAGACTACTATCAACTAAACTGTTATCAATCATTGGAGCACCGTCTGCGATGAGAGTGGAATAATACAAACAGTAATATGAACTCCTGGTATTAACATTCTTGAAATGTAAGCAGCGTTGAAGAGGGAAAACATTGTAGGATTGAAAACATTTCTGTCATCCTGGTATTGGACCATTGATACCAAATGCATGATCACTTGATTCTTTGATAATTATTATTGCAAAATTTGTACAATTTGTCAGTTATATTTATAATGCAACAAATAAACAATGAAAATTTTCATATAATAATTTTCAATTCTATATCACCACATTCACAGTAACAGAAAATAAATAAAAGTATACTGCACATTTCCAGAACGCTTACTAATAATTATCACTTCAATCAACATTAATTGTGCCAATGAATAATTTACTATTATTAAACAAGGTATAAGTTTTACTACAAGTCAACATATCTGTTGTTGCACTCGATGGTTGCGTTCAATTAATCTCAATTAGAAATCCATATCGCTCTTTTCCTGAAAATTTTTTCCTCAACTATCTCTCAAGTGTATTCTTGGAACACAATGAAAGAAAGAACTCCATCGATTTATTCATCCTCAATTGGTCGATTTGCTTGGTATATAGGCCGCGTACAGGCTCAAAATCTCATTATCGCTATTTACACATGCTTGACTGTGTTCCTTATCATCTAGTTTATCTAGCTTCTTTATCTAACGTGGTTTTCTTGCTTGTATACACGCACGTGTGCATTCCTCGCATTCCGTCGAACGGTTTTCACTTTCGGCAACTTTGATTTCAGAAATCGAGGCGCCCACGCTGATCCGTATCATCGGTTGCTTTCTGTTTCACATTTGCGTATCGCACTTTCAAACATTCGCTGAAAGCAGATTCGTCTTTCGAGGAGGATGGTTCCACCGAAAATCAAATCAGAAATATTTCATTAATGTACATCGATAATAACGAGCCGATAAAATTGCCGCACGAAGATAATGATATTGTACCTTGGGCGAATTTATAATTAGATGAAAACCGGTATGCACGATCTTATCTGGTTTTAAGTGCGATAAATTTCAAGTAGATCTGTCGAACTTACAAGCAGTGTCTGTACCTTCTTCAGATTGAAAAAGTCCGGAGTTTTATGATGACTGGATTGTTATTTATCTTTGTAGAGAATTTTCATATGGTCGTTACAGTCGGGATGAAGTATTCAATAAATTTGCAAGAAATTAATACGTCATTTATGAAACATTCAATACGGTCTTTTTAGGCTGCCTCCGGATGTAAGATTTTTAACGATCACTTTTATTTTTACAGGCTAGCACAATCGATCAAGGTTGCCATCTCTTTGTCCGTCCTGTTCTCGTTCGGATTATCTTACTACGTGCCGATCACGATATTCTGGCCGATGATCGAAGCAAGGTTTAAAACTTACAAATATTCCAAGGCGATAGTTCGTTTAAGTGGAATATTCTTAATAAGTGAGTGCCACTTTGTTCGAATACGATGGATTATGATTCAGAACGGTGTACGATAATCTTCAACCTTTAATTTCCTCCTTAATCACATTTTTTTTTGTGAATCATTTTAACACTATCAGTTAATACTTCTTTCTTAAATATAATTCGATATAATTAAATGTTAATCAGTCAAACAGAATATTATTATAAATTGCAATAGTCTCTTACAGAAACCACTATTTATGAACAAAAAAAATTAGTAGTTACAGCATTAAGAAAATTGATGGGTAGGTATGCGTAAAGAATTGAATATTTTCGAATTTTTTGCAATTAATTTTAGCGTTATTGGCCATCGCGATTCCAATCATGGTTCCTTTACTCGGTCTCCTCGCAGCGGTAAGCATAAGCACGGTAATGCTACTGATCCCGATACTAATCGAGACAGCCACGAAATGGGAAAAGGCCACTCGGTTTCTCTTAGCGAAAAACATCGGCATATCTGTTGTCTGGATACTTCTGTTGGTTAGTATCGAAAGTTGATGTCATAAATTAACATAACGGAAACATTTTATGCAATGCTTGCTGGTTTTACGTAATTTCCAGTCCTTATGCACAATCTGGCATGTTGCATTTCCTAAAATGTCACGATTCGAAATAAATTATCCACAAAATGTCAGCCACTTCGAACGATATTCATTCATTTGAAAAATGTAATCTGATGTAAGATTATGCACAAAATAAGCGTTAGAAGAAAACAATTAAATAGATATCCTTGAATGAAGAAATCTTTAATCGAAACCTTTCTATCTTTAATTAAAAGATTAAAAAGATACAAACCATAAATCTCTTTATTCAAACACATAATTTGTGAGATAACTGGTGTCAAATACTAATGCTCAGTAATTCAATTATTTCGATAACAATGTAACGTAAAAATTGTGATAACAAATAATTAATAGTCCTTTCTTCTTATCTGTACTACAAAGTAATAGAAAACGCTAAAACTTTTCATGCCAATCAACGTGTTAATCTCGATGCAATTCGTAGATGTATTATGGTATGATATTTTATAAGTTCACCATTAGATTCCACTACAAAGTCATTCACACGAGGTTTATGAAATATCGACACCAATAAAAAATTCAAATAACGGATCATGGCTTCGATAACGCGCAATTTTTCTTTCGTTTTCATCAAAGCCATTGCATGCGGTTGCATCGACGTTTAGGAACCGGTGTATTATTATCTATCTCACGTCGTTAGTCGATCGTGAATTTATGATCGGCCATCTGTTTTATTACATCGTTTCATATGAATTGAATGACAGAGCCATTCAATTCAGTATAAGGATAATTCCTTAATGTCATAACTGTCCCGTAGGATGTAAAAAGTATTTCGTGGTGCAGATAGCAAAAGAAAACGTGAAACTCGATCTATAATTTAGTTCAAGATAAAGGCT